CAGCAGTGAAATACTGCCAGCTTCACTCATTTGTAGCCAAATGCAAGAAGGAGTAGGGAGACTGCATGGCTGCAGAAAAGGAAGGCAAGGAACAAAGTATTTTAAAACAGCATGAAATAAGCAGGGAGTAACAGCACCAGAAAACAAACGAACACACACACACACACAAAAATATGCATGCATGGAGGTGGTAAGGGGAGTGGGGAGGAAGGAAGAGAGGAGTCGGGTGAGTTCATGGTAGCAGAAGGGACTTAAGCGACGGAATAGACGCATCGGGGGGAAAAGTAGTAGTGCGAAGAAAAGAAGCCCATTAATAAAAGATGAGGAGGGATGAAATTAGTGAGAGCTCTGCAGAGACACTACAGCCCTTGTGAGGAGAGAAGCACGGGGCCCAGTTCTGGTATTCTTGTTCAGTACTTCCTAGATCCTGGGGACTGCTCGGAGGACAAAGTACAATTAAAAGGCAGGGTCTGTCAGCCTGTCAGGAATACCAAGCAAGGGCCTAGTCTCACACACTTACATAGCTGAATAACTATGAGGAACAGCTTGTCACACCAGCAGTCCCCAGGGTTTTCAAAATTGAACTATATGCCCATGAAGTGGCTGAAATAAATGAGTGTTTACAGTTGGGACCCTTTTTAATAGCTTACTACTGTATTTTTCTTCTTCTTTTTTATGTACTCAAGTTATTTCTACAGAGGTTTTTTTTTATCTCTGTGGAAACTTTGCATTTATGCAAAGCCAGGATGTTTTCATGCCCGTGCGTTTCCAGAAGATGGAATTTCATGTAAAACAGTAGCTATCTTGGAAAGTGTGGTAAAAAGCGAGGAGCTGCTAGTTGCAAGTTCCGCAGTACCCGGCATGGTCCAAGGCAGCCAGACCAGGGAGCGGGTTGCAGCCATCACAGACCTCCTCCTCCTCATGTGCTTGGATTTCCTTCCTGTGGATACGGAGGGGAATCTCACATGCAGTTGCACAGTGGCCAGGATGCAGCCTCAGATCCTGACACTGGAAAGCACTCTGATGTCCCACAGTTGCAGATATTTATTGCAGCCACAATCGGTTGATAAACACAGGCATAAGCCACAAGTTCTCTCTTAAGAGCCATTAATGAAGGCACAACCTGTGAGAAGATATTTCATTCTTATGCATAGGAAGGATGTTTTTCCTTAGAAATATTTATTTTAAAATGTAGCTCTTGAACTAGGGAATTAAATCAATTAGATCAATCCCCCAAGCACTGTAAATCCCAGGAAGAAAGTGCTGACCCATCTACTGGGTCCTTACAAATACAGTCCCAAAGGGACACGTACTTGGAGACCTCAGTTAGCAACAGGCTTTTAAATTCAGATGTTAGACTGACAGCAGGAAATAAGGAGTCAAAAAGTGTTCTCAGCCAAAATAAACCACTTTCTTTTGTGAAACATTTTAAGCCTCCCTGCTGTTCCCCTTACTCTTTTTTTTCCTCCTGACTAAAATTAATTGCTTAATCTAGTTTTTGGTGGGTTCCTTAGAAACTCTATTTTCTAGAACTCACTCTTATCTTGAACTTTTCTGCTGTCTTGTCTCACCATACTTGATGCATAGACAAAACATTTAATGGAGCATATCAAAATTAAAGTCTCATGTTCATGCCTGTGTAATTACAAAATTCAGATCCTGAAAATACATCAATTTTTCAGCTGTTCAACTAAACATTAAATTCTTCAATATGCTAATGTGTTCTTTTCTTTCTTTTTGACAGCAAAATTTGGAAAGTAACCTCACCAACCTTATTAAGAGGAATACTGAACTGGAAACTCTTTTGGCGAAACTCATTCAGACCTGTCAACATGTAGAAGTGAGTACTGACCTCTATCTGAAATACTTGTAAACTTAATTACGTTCACTTCTAGCATTCAGGAACAAAAGTTTAAACAAAAAAAAACCAAGCACAGAACTAAACTAAAATAGTGGTAAACTGATTTGGAGCTTTTTCACTGATAAATGGTATTCTCAATACAGATGACCTCCTTTACGTTCCTTCCTATCCCCTTTTAATTACAATATGTTTGTATGGCCCCTACCACTGCTATACTTGAGCATATCACTCACTATCTGTAACGTTTATTTTTTCGGGTCCTTCATGAGGTAGAGTAATATTTACAGGTTGAAAACTAAGGCAAAGAAATAGTAATGACCAGATCCATAATTATATTTAGGTTTCTATCAACCACAGATTTTTTTTTTTTCTCCAGAATTAAGTATCTAAGTACAATTGTGGACTCAAAAGTCATACATGAAATATATCTATCTTCAGAAGAAGAAAGGTGCCTACAGGCCTTTGAGTTGCCTCAGTTACGTGTTCCACTTTATCACAGAAAATCTTTAGCAGGGAGGGACCTGAATCCATATTTCCCCAAAATCTGGGGAATTTTTTAGATGGCCCCATGGGGGCTGCTGCTCTACATGCAAATTAAAATAATCACAGACTAATTCAGCCATGGGAGCTGACACAGAAAGAGATCAGAGTCCAATATGCTAAAAAAATCCTTTTTTAGCAAAACCTCTCTTTTTACTTTTTGCCACGCTATAAGACCTTTTCAGTTCCTTATTCAGGTCAACAAAGCCAAAACCACTATGAACAAAAAGCTTCCATATCATAAAAAACTTGCAAAAGACAATATGAGTTTATGCTTTCTGCAGGTAAATATTATACAAACATCCCCATGGCATCAAAACTTTACCACCAGTGCTTTCCTCTGTGTCAATCTCAGCCATGAGTCCCAGGTGACACACCAGATACAAAACATTTTTACTGCTCCTCCAGGTGAATTGTGGTTGAGGAACACTGGAAGACTAGGAAAGGCTCAACATCGTGAGATGCATGTGCTTGTTGAGAGATATACTGGATTCATTGAGACACACCAAATTCACCATTTGCAGCGCTATCGGTTCTCATAAGTTCTAAACTCAATTTAAGATGGCATGGGAAAGTGAATGGGGTAGGAATCAGAGGAGCTGGTACAACATATATACTGCTGATTTAGAGTGGAACAAGCTTTAGACCTCAGTCACAGAGAAGAGGTATTTTCAGTTGAACAGCTAATTACTAGTCAGATTAGCAATGAAAACTTATTTTCCCTGGGAAAAATGGTTGGGTTTTTGTTTGTATTACAATGCTGTCTGTTGACAGGCTGCTGCATAGGACCATGTCACTTCTGACTGCATTGCAGTTCCTGCAGCAGCCTTGTTTATTGAGAGAAGGGTGACTGTATGTTCCTAGCAGACAGGCAGCATTAAATAATAATAGCGTTGTGTAGAAAAGGTATTCCACTTTGAGTATGGTTGTCTGTATATGTGAAAGGAAGCCATGTTTCTTCACTAGTGTTACTTGGGGAATAGCCCTGGGGAATCTGAGAGAGGAAGGTAGCCTTAACCCAGAGCTTCTGAAACATGGATATAATTTAAGTTAGCTGTGACATAAACTGCTGTAATACAGCCACCTGCCAGCTCTGCAGAAAGGCACTTGGCTTTTAGAGAAACCTCTTTTTCTTCCTTATAAAGTCCCATGGAAGTTCTCCATAGGGCTGCTTCTCTTCTGTCTTTTTCAGACTAAAATTCACTGACCTAATTAAGCCCAAGAGCAACCTTTGCTTGTGAACTTTTGCTTGTTTCAAAGTCACATCTTCAAAATTTGGCATCTGCTTAAGTACCTCGTTGACCGTGGCAATGGCACATGTCTCAGAAAAAAAGCAAGAAAGTAAAAAAAAAAAAAAACCACCCCAAAAAACCAAAGCAAACAAAAAACCACCAAACCCCAAAACAAAGCAAACCACCCCAAGACTTCTTCCAAAGAGATGGTCTCATCCATTTTTCTGTCTGCTCCACCTCTGTGGAGCCTCACTGATTTCATGGGGCTCAACAAAACCATGAAAGCCTATCCACAGTATCAGGCTTGAGGTGAACAGTTTGAGTTCTTTATACAGGCAGCAATAATATCAGGCAGAACAACTGTAGTATCAGCTGGAACGACTGTAGTAGGTAACGAGAGACAGAGGCAAGGCACGTTTTCTTCCACTGGGTATAAAACTCAAAGCAAAACCCATGAAGCAGATGGGCCCAGGACAGCATAAGGCCTCTTCTTCATTAGTGGCCTATGTCCAAGATGGGCTAGATCTGGAAAATTTAAAATCATTCCTCCATCTCCTCTGCAATTCTGCACTATATTACCAACTCTAAGGTTTAGTATTACAAAAAATCCAACTTGTTCAACTGGTAACAGATGCGCTACTGTCCCTGGAGCCCTGTTTTAGAAAATTTCTCTGTAGACATAAAGCAATAGGAGCAAAGTTGTTAATGAATTCCTACCACGTTTTATTCGTCAAATTAGACTAATTAGCATTTAAATTAGCTAAATATTAAGAAATGAGCTTCAGTCAAAACCCTGGACCTGGGCCGTGCTGGAAATCAGGCAAGTGGGGATGTGGAAGTAAACTTTAAAGCTATCTCTGTTTCTCAGAACCCTGTGAAAACTTCCGATATCATGTGAATATTTCCAATGTTAGAGAAGCTATCTAAATAGATTTTTAAAAAGTCAGTATGCTCTCTTTCTTTGTGCTTCTTTGTGACAGAAATTCACCCCAAGCCAGAAACCCGAATGAAGCAAACAGTATATTGGTTGTAACATTAATGTTACAAATTTTAAATTACAAAATATTAGGAAAAAGAAAAGCTGAAGTTTCCAATGACTGTATTAGTGTTGCCATATGAACTCACTCAAAGGTTGAAACTGAACAAATAGTTAATTTGATAGGAAATGTTTTCTTTTTCATTTTTTGATACAATATATTACAGATGATGATGTAGAATATATTGTATACAATTTGTAAGCATGTAAAAATATAGGTGCTGCACTGTAAAAACTGCTGTTACATACCTAGATTTTCCTTACCTACTTTTAAATCATTTAAATAATGTTATTTTAAAGTTGATCTAGATTTTGGTGCGTTTAAAACCAGTTGAAAAAAAAAAAAGAAAAGAAGCTTTGGGTTTCACACATAATTTGAACTTTGAAAAACAAGGAAGGAAAGGAAATTATTATTCCTTGTGTTAAAGTTACCAATTTTTTTTTGAGGGGTATATAAACTTTAAAAAAAGTTATGCTAATTAACATTTATTTGTAGAAATAAACACTAACATTTTTTAAAGCCTTTGTCCTGTCAGAAACCAAAAAATTCCATATTACATGAAAAATAAAAAAGGAATGCCTTTTTTGGCTTTTGATATGGAGCAGAAGCTGATGTTTCCGAAAATGAACAACAAACAGGCTCTGTGTCTTTTGAACAAATGAATCCTCGCCAGCCAAACCAAATGTTGTCGCAGAGCCACTGTTTCTCATCAACCAAGTGAGCTGTTAATGTGTTCCCAGCAACCAGCTTCACTGCAGATTAATTATCTACCCATACATCCTTCGCATCAGGCAATTGAAACTTTATCAATAGCAAAGGCCAAATCCCAGTCTCTCTGTGTTTTAAAACTAATGTTTATTCCCTTCTGAGAGAGTTGTTTTCACTTTTTGCTCACATGAGCAGGCAAGGACTGATCAGGGATGTTTGTTATCTGGAAGCTGGACACCTTCCAGCCACTGGGGAGGGGGGATCTGGGGCTGTGTTTCATCACAGCAACGGAGGCATAGATACTGCCTATTTTTAGTTGGTGTTTATCAATTTATGATGAGATTTATCCTGATGGAGGACCTGATCTTGGGAGGCTCAAAAAGTCCACTTCCAGTCTTGCATTCCTGGGGGTGGTTCTGGTCATATCGATGGGAAAACTTTTGTGAATAATTCAAGCCAAACTTGTATTCTTTACTGCTTTAAGTACAGCAGAGATATTAATCATTTTATAATATCTGAATGACTGATTTCATGCCTAATATGGAAGTATAGTCTGTGCCAATACTTAGTTTATGGTAACACTTAGTTTTTAAAATCCCATTTTCTCAGTGGGAACCACACCCTGAAAAGTGAACACTTGAGACTATAACACTCTTTTCTGCCCCAAATCTTTCTGTTTCATTAGGAGCATCCTGGCACACTGGTTTTACTCATCTTTCAGACACATCCCTAAATCATTTTTTGTTCTACACTCATTTTTCCATCTTTCCACTCTCCCTTCCTCTGTAATCCTATCTGTCATTTCTTGGTTTTGCAGAAAATCCAAAGGCTGTTAATCAGGAAAGTTTTGTTTTCCTTCCTTGGAGACAACGGCAGGTCTACAACCTCACACCTTTGGCTAGGCTGCTTTCTGCAGAGCACCCCCTCGATCGGGGCAGCTCACTGGGTTGGCCCCGGTGATTTGGCTCTGCTCCTCACTCTCTTTAGTGAAGGCAGCTGTGGCTGCTTCCCCAGGGACAGCAGGCTTGGCTGCATTGAATGATGAACTGATTCATAGGATAAAATATAGTTTTCTCCACAAACTGAGAAAATGGAATAGAAATGGCTACTAATCTGAAATATGTTTGTTTGTAGTCCTAGTTCACAGCATTCCCACATCTCATAGCATCTGGAGAAAACTTTTTTAAAAGCATTAAAAACCATCCTGGAAAATTTTATCATTAAATTCTGTGGACATTCACCCAATGAGAGAGCCCTCTAGCATGTGGCTAAATCAGCATGTGGCTCTTAAAAGCCCATAAAAACATCCGTGCATGTCAGGAAAGCAGCCACTTAGTTCTGGAGCTGTTATAAGCAGAAGATGTTTGAGGGAAAAGGAAGTAATGTAAATATTTATGCTTTGGCATAAATTAACAGTCTAGGTACAAGCCCTCTATCTCAGCTGAGGGAGGAGAGGCTCTAG